TTACAACACCAACATTTTTTTTGGGGGGTGAAGCAGAAGCCAAAACACTTCTCAAATTAATTGTGTGCACACTCAAACACGCACACCCACTTGGATTTCTACCACGTGGAAAGAACAATGCACAGTTTGTAAATCTCTGTGCCTCGCACTTAAAATCAGTTAGTAACTCAACGCAACAAAAATACAGAAGATACTTGAGCAATATTTCACACTAAGTAATTAGATTTCAAAAGCACGTTAGCAATCCTGAATGAGGCTCACTGAAAAGCTCAAAATGTAGATCAGCAGCAGGGATGTGCTGATATACTTTAATAAAGTGCAAACAGGGTCTATGCTTCACTGATTTGCATCACACACCCCACCCTTCTCTGTGTTACTGAACCCAGCCCAATAAAATAAGAATATATTAACAGGACCAGGAGGTACAGTGGAAAACACATCGTTTTCACTTCTGTAATCTGGGTTTAAATTAAATTCAGAGAAAGGGAGGAAAAAAAATATCGGTCTCTGACTCTCTGGAGTTGTATGTGGCCTACACCAGTGGATGCAGATACGCATCATAGAGCTGGACATAATTCAGCAGGAACTGGCAGCCCCTATTATAAGACCACAAAGGATGAGTGGAAAGGGCACACTGGTGCATCAATAACATTGGGATTATGCCACGCTGTTGGCACAGAAATCTATACCCAACCATTACACAACGGTTGGAGGATACTGCAAAAATCTAGATTATACCCTGCATTTACTGCACAAAAAAATCCAATTATAATAAATTTAAATCTAAGAGAAAACCAATAAAAACTGACAGTAATATCTAGAGGCTAAAAACTACCTGTACTAATCACCAATGCCTGAAGCACCAAGCGAGAAGACCACAAATTAAGAGATTACAAGAGTATTCACAATTTGATTTTTTGATTTTTCAGCCAAAAAAACAATTTCAGATTTTGTTCCCAGCCAAGATGTGTTTATTTACAACACAACAAACAGCACCGCAACCAGCAACCAGATTCTCAGTTCCTCCACTGGAATTCTTAACCAATCCAATCTCTCGTGGTCTCCCATCGATTCATCCTCACAAAACGTGCTCAGTTTCTCTCCAGCTTAGAATTACACCCATGCTGATTTTCACTCAAAAATAAGCACTCAATTTCCTCACTTATTTCAAATAAAATCTGGCCAATTCTGGGAATGAAAGAAAACCAATTGTCATAATACATTATGGAAATGCACACACACCTGTTATGCAGAATTCAAAGATCCCATGTTGCTATTCAATAGAGAAAGGTGTTTCCCAGTATCCTGGCCAATAAAATTAGTCATTCACCTCAGGGTTGTTTGCGGGAATATTAGCTGAGGCATTAATCTACACAAAGTTATGACACCTCTCAGTAAAAATTCTATGAGGCTCTTTAATTTCTTGACAAGGCAATTATCAAATGCAAGAATTATTATAAACCATTCCAAGCTGCAAAAGAAAGCAATAATGTGGAAGTCACTCTGAACATTCAGAATACTAAAGCAACAACAACACAATTACATCTGTATAGCGCCTTTCACGTCGGGAGGACGTCCCAAGCCTCAATGGCTATTCAATGGAGTTCACGATGACTGAAGTTTTGCACGTTCTACTCCAAGCAACTCAATCTTATAGGAAAAAAAGGGGTTTAGGTTCAGGAATACCTTGTGTTAAAGAGGCAAGAAGAAACATTTTCACATGGAGAGCCACAGTTATTGGGACTGAATCCATAATATTTAAAGACAGAATTGGATAACTATTTCAAGAGTAACAATATGAAAGAATGTGGGGGGAGAGAAAGCCACTGAATTGGGATTGGAGCCGTTGTTTCGGGGGGGGGGGGGGGGGGACGACGACAGGCACTGGCACAGACTGGATGGTTTAAATTGCCTTTTCTGCTATGATTTCTATAATTCTATTTTGATGAATAGGGCAGGGTATGAAGAACAGTAGACTCAGTAAGTAAGTTCATGCTGGAATTGACTGTTACAAAGTTAAGGGAATAATTCATTTGAAATTAGTGTCTCATCGTTTCAATTTTTTTTTAAAAAACTTGCTCTTGCAGTTTTGAATTTTGCACCAGTTAAAGCGAACCCCGAGATCTCAGCAACAAAGGGCACCAGTTTGGAAGACTCCCCCTTCCTCCTCGTTTGCACAACACGGGGGCGACACCGATCACAAATGCAAATTTTAATCAAACAGTTCTCGAAATCCCACCGTCACACCCTCCGAGAGGAGACCGGTCACCCGGGGTGTAACACCACGGCAGCAGCAGCAGCATTTGACCTGGACCGCCTCCGCCCTCCACGGGCAACACACAAAAAAAAAGAACCGTCAGAAAAGGTACGGTTTGGATCACCGGGAACCACTATCACCGTATGGAGGAGGAGGAGGAGGAGGAGGAGAAAACAAACGCTTAAGCAGCTGCGTTTCTCGCCCCCGCATCAAATGCAAAACAAAATGTATTTTGCACACACACACACACAGACACACACACAGACAGACAGACAGACAGACAGACACACACACACAGACACACACACAGACACACACACAGACACACACACAGACAGACACACACACAGACAGACACACACACACACACACACACACACAGACAGACACACACACAGACAGACACACACACAGACAGACACACACACAGACAGACACACAGACAGACAGACACACAGACAGACAGACAGACAGACAGACAGACACACAGACACACACACAGACACACACACAGACACACAGACACACAGACAGACACACACACAGACAGACACACACACAGACAGACACACACACACAGACAGACACACACACACAGACAGACACACACACAGACAGACACACACACAGACAGACACACACACAGACAGACACACACACAGACAGACACACACACAGACAGACACACACACACAGACAGACACACACACAGACAGACACACACAGACAGACACACACACAGACAGACACACACAGACACACACAGACACACACACACACAGACACACACACACACAGACACACACACACACAGACACACACACAGACAGACACACACACAGACAGACACACACACAGACAGACACACACACAGACAGACACACAGACAGACAGACACACAGACAGACCCAGACAGACACACACACAGACAGACAACACAGGGCGATATAGACCTGCAGGCGGTCTGACCGCACCAGCCCCGTGATGACGTCAGGCTGCTCCATGATGGACAGCTGCCGGGCCCGGGGCCGCACTCGGAGCCTGATCCCGGGCAGGAAACATCACAGTGACCGGGGACCGCGAGTGACCGCCCTCGGGTGCTCGTCTGTCGGCCGCGGGGACAAGGATCGGAACGGGATCGCTGGCCCCGGTTCCCAGGCTGTGTGCCGCTCGGAGCTCGCGGCGCCACCGCCACCGCCGCCGCCACAACAACAACCTTCCCGAGCAGAGGGGGCCGGTCCTCGGGCCGCCCGCAACCAATGGCTGCGGAGCGGAGCGGAGCGGGACCGCCTCCGCCAGTGTGCAGCGAGTCCCAATCACTGCCCCCCAGCGACCTGCCCAACCGGGATGGTCACAGCTGTTTTCGAAGCCCAGACATCACTTCCGTGTAAACACTCTCGGCGAAGCGAAAGGAAAATAAAGGGAACGAACGCACACAGCGAATTCGCTGCCGCTGCACATGGGGTCGGTCGTATGCGACTCGTACACCCCCATTGCAAAGCACACACCGCTGTGCTGTGCAACCGCACTCTGCGCCAACACATCGTGCATACGGACCCCATACTTTGCAAATACAGACTGTAAATAAACAGACATACATATGCCACTGCCTCAAAATAGTGTGGCTGTGCGCGCGGACCCTCTGCACTTGTCAATATAGTACTCCAGACCGCACAACCTGCAGCTGGAGATCAGACCTTTTGCACATAACCAACTACGCCACTCCTCGAGGCAAATGCGTATCACCAAAACACAATCCGCCGCTCCTGACCCATTAAAATAGTGAGCGCACTGCGCGACCGAACCGTTTCGGGAACCTCACGAAGGCGCGAGTTCTCCTGACGAACGTCCGACGTATTTATGTTACAAAACCACCGGCGACATACCGTTTAATTCATTCCGAAGTAATGCAGCAACCTTTCGGGAAAATTCGGATTGTAAACACGAAGGCCAGTGCAAGTATGCACGTCCGATTGCTGCAATACATCGTGTGCAACCCCGGATATCATACCCGCAAACCTGCGCATAAACCCGTGTGTAGTGGGTAACAATGTTATCGCAAACAAGCGATAAGGGCGATAGCATGGATATAAACATCACCAACACTCAGGCCTGCAACCTGGGTTGGTCATGAATATGTAGAAGGGGGGGTGGGGGTGGGGGGGGAAGAAAAAGATTTGAAATAAATGTCTGAACTAGTCATGTACTGGATTGGTGCTTCGCAGAACGCAACGAGCCGAGGAAATGAGTGGGTGATAACAGCCACTGCGCCACGAAGCACCAACAAACAACCACACTCCACTGGGTTCAGGATCTTCCTTCGTCCATTCATTCTTATTTTGATTCCACCCGAGCGACCCCCGCCCCAGTCTTTCGAGGTTCAAGATTTCCCATTCCCTCAATCCACACTCCCCCCCGCCCGCCTTTCTGGAGATGGTTGTATATATATATACACACATACACAGACGTATATATATATAGGTCTTTAAATGAAAGCGATATTGTTTACATTGGACTCCGCAAACTGCGTGCTGTTTTATTTTACCGAGAGGTAATCCTGATACATAATTCCAGGAGAGACTGGGGATGGTCCTACCACCAGCCCGAGTCATACCCCACAGACTCCGAGGCTGCAGGACAGCGGTTCCTCTCTCTCTCTCTCTCTCCAGACCTTTCCTCGCACGCTCCGTATTTCTCTGATCGTTTTCCCGTCTCCAATTTGCTCGGTCCTTCCCGTCCTTACCGTGGGCTCGGAGCGTTCGGTCCCGGGCAGCGTCAGGGGCTCTCGCTGCCTGACTCTCCCCCACACTCTCCCTCTCTCCCCGGCGGGCGGCTCTGATACAATCTCCGGGTATCGCTCTGGACGATCGGCTATCGCCGCCGCTCAGCCCGCGGCTCCCCAGCTCTGTGTGTCTGGGCTGCGAGGCCGGTGTGTTCGAGCCAGTTTCTCCCCGTGGTGGTGTTGTTGTTGTTGTTGTTGGAGCCCCGCTCGGTGTCGCCGCCGTTACCCCCGGGGGCAGCGCTGGCTGCTGTGGCTCCCAGGCCGGCCGTGGCTCGCTCCAGTCTCGGTTCGGCTGGACGGTCTGCCTTTTGTTCGTGTGCTGCTCGCTTCCCCGTGGTTCCGGATTATTTATTCAACGTTATATCCGTTCTCCGCCGAGTGGCTGCTCCCTGTTCGGGTCTCTCCCCTCACGGGCTGTTCGTGCTGCTCCCGCCGCCGACCGCCTTTTTTTTTCTTTCTCTCTCCCCTCCGTCCTTCCTCCGGGTCCCTCCCGGCTCGGCCCGGTGCTGCGGGGTCTTGGCTCGCTGCTGGGGGGTGGGGGGAAGGGGGGGGTTCAGCCGTTCACGGCGACGGGGGCGTCTGCAGTTGCTGTGGGTGGTGAGGGGGGGGCGCGGGGATTAGGGGAGAGATCCCGATATTGCCTGAGCTCGATGCTGAGGGGGAGGGAGGAGGTGTGTGTGTGTGGGGTCTATGTGGCTGAGGAGGTGGGCCGGCGGTCTCGGTGTGGCCGAGCTCGGTGGGTGGGTGGGGGTCTCTGTGTGGCCGAGCTCGGTACTGAGGGGATTGTGACCGGGGGTGGGAGGGGGGGGGGTCTGTCCGGTCGGCCGCGCTGCTGCTCTGGTGTCTGTTATTGTTCTGCGCCTCGCGTTCCGCTGTGCGTCCCCGAGCGGCCAATGAACAGCGAGCGGCGCCCCCCCGCCCCCCCCCCGAGTGTTTGTGTTTGAAGCGGGAGCGCGAGAGCAGCACGTGGTGGGGGCGCGCGGAGGGCGAGCGAGCGCGCGCGCGCGCGCCCCCCCCCCCCACTACCACCACCAACCGCCGCTCGTTCCATTGATTCACAATACAAAACCTCTCGTAGGCTGCGCGCGCATCGCGTTCCTTTGCCCCCGTCCGTCAACACGCACGCACGCACGCACACCCGGGGCAGAGAGCGCATGCGCGCCGCGCAGAGCACGCGCGGCACAGGTGGTCACCAGTCATAACAAAGGGCGCGCGCGCACACACGTGGCACACTGGGTCCGGGGGGGGGCGTGGCGTGGGAAGATCACGTGGTACACGCCTTATAGAGGGAGGACGATCTGGCAGCCGGTCTACAGGGGGCGGCAGTGCGCTCCCTCTCTGTGGAGGGGACGGCGGTGACTCGGTGTGTGTGTGTGTGTGGGTGTGTGTGGGGTTTGGAAAACATGTCTGAGTTGAGGTAATGGCTCTGCAATCAAGAACAGCAGCGCCAGGAGGTCAGGAGGTTCACGCTGTTACAATATTAATGACAATAATCCCAGCATTGGATACAGCGCCTCATCACATCCTCGAGACGTCGCCAAGCGCTTCGCTGGACGACATGCCGTGAAGTGTAGTGACTGTGTGTTTTGTAGCAGCCGACGGCGCGCAGCAGCGTCCCCACAGACGGCTGCGGATTGAGCGACTAATTTATTATCAAAGGGATTATTAGCCCCGGAGCAGCGCTCTTCTAATAACAACAATAATCCTCGAATTTGACAGAGCGCCGACCGTGTTGTTGAGCCGTTCTCACAGCGATTCACGGGTTGTACTGTAGTGTAAACCGGATTGACTGTGTATTCTGTGGGCAAACGCCAGGTCGCAGACGGGACTTCGGTTTGACTCGTCCAAAGGTCAGCACCTCTGGCAATCCAACACCCCACCAGCGCCTTGGGACGTCCCTCTGACGTGAAAGGCACTATATAAATGTAATTTGTTGTTGTTGCGTGGGGCTTGAACCCACAACCTTCTGACTCGGAGACGAGAGTGCTCCCACTGAGCCGGGCTGATACCACCTTTTGGAAACGTGCATTGCATTTTAAAAAAAACATGAGTTGGTTTAATACTCATTGTTACTGTGTCAACCTGGCCCAATGGGCAGCACACTGACTCAGAACTTTGTGGATAATAATAATAATAATCCTTTCAAGCTCCATGCCCCAAATTTGATCTCGTATAAGACTAAGGCTGACGCTCCGGTGCAGTTCTGAGAGCAATGTCAGAGCAATGTCATTGTCAGAGTACTTGTTTTGCAAGCGAGAGACCTGGGTTCGAATCCCAGCAGGGTGAAACCTTGGGCAAGTTTCCTTACTCCGCATGCCTGATAATAATCCCTCGAGAAAATAAAACAATAATAAATGGTTCACTCCAAACCATGACTGTTTGTGGGACACTGCTGTGCACAATTGGCTGCCGCGTTTCACCCACAAATATACAGTCAATTCACTTTACTCCACTTTGAGACGGCTAGAAGACGTGAAAAGCGCTATATCAAATGCAAGGATTATTATTATTGTTGGAGGTGCCATTCTTTGGACAAGATGGTAAACCTGGGCCCCACCTGCTGGTTCAGGTAGATGTTAAAAGATTCCAAGGCACTGCTCAAAAAGAGAAGGGAGTTCCTCCCAGTGTCCTTTCCAATCATCCCACAGATTAAAATTGGGCATTCACGCCTCGGCTGTTTGAGGAACCTTGTTGCTGTCATGATCCTGCATCGATGAGAATATTGGTCGAGTCTGGGGAGCACCCTCTTGTGACGGTTGAACCCCGGGACTATTTTAAGGTTTTGGAAATGCTCAACAGGGTGCTTCTGACCAGAAGCAAGATTGAAGCTCTTCAGGCTTGTTTTGGATGGTTTAAATTAAACACTTATCATTTTTTAAAAGGCAAAATGCTGCCTATCCTGGAAGTCTAAAATAAAAACAGAAGTCGCTGGGAACACTCAGCAGCTCAGGCAGCATCTATGGAGAGAGGAAAGTGAGTTAACGTTTCAGGTTTATAACCTTTATAATTTTTACCTGGTATGCAGATTATTTCCTTGTAGTCAAAGGGTAATGAAAGCAAACTTCTTCCCTTACTTGGGAGAAATGTATATTGTGCTCAAATTGTTGCTCTTTGCCTCTGCTCTGATCGCCTCATCATCCTGGGCGACTTTAACCTACACTTCACCCCCTCCTGCTCCATCTCCTCAGACTTCTCTTCCCTGCTCTCCTCACTCAACCTCTCCTTACACATAAACTCCCCCACTCACAGTCACGGCCACCCACTCGATTTGGTGATCACCCGGGGCCTCAGTGTCTCGGATGTCACTATTACCGACAAGGCCATCTCTGACCACTACTTCATCTCCTTCACCACCTCCACCCCCTCCCACCTCCACCAGACCCACCACCATCTTCTACCGCCCTTGGAAGAAGTTACCCCCACAATCCCTAACCGATGCCTTGGAGTCCTCTGAACTCCTCTCCCTCTGGCCTTCAACCCTCACCGACCCCTCTTCTCCTCTCTCCCTCCTCCACAATACCCTCTCCTCCACACTCGATACTCTTGCCCCCATCACTTCCCGCACTGTCTCCTACTCCCGCTCCTCCCCCTGGTACACCACCCACCTCCGCTCACTGAAAAGCCAGGTGCGGGCTGCTGAACGCACCTGTGTCAAATCTGGCCTAACGGTCCACCGACAAATCTGGCTGGACCTCCTCAAAATTTACCGCTCCACTCTAGCCTCGGCCAAGTCGTCCTTCTACTCCAGGATAATCCTGGAGGCGAAGAACAACCCCAGGCTACTGTTTTCCACCACAACCCGACTCCTCCGTCCCCCCCGCCACCCCGCGCAGGTCATCTCCTCCAACCTTCACTGCGAGGAGATGCTGGATTTCCTTGAATCCAAGATCAAGGGAATTCGCTCCGCGGTCACTTCCCCTCCAACATCCACCACCCCCACCCCCTCCCTCCCACACTCCGACTCCTACCCATCCTCCCCTACACACTTTTGTACCCGTTTCCCCACCCTCTGTCACCAAACTCATCCTATCCCTAAAACCAACCACCTGCTCCCTTGACCCCATCCCCACTCCACTCCTTATCTCCCAGCTCCACTTTCTTGCCCCACATATCACTGACATCATCAACCTGTCCCTCTCCTCTGGCTCTGTCCCCATTCCCTTAAAAACTGCCATCATCACGCCCACCCTGAAAAAACCCTCCCTTGATGCGTCGCAGCTATCAAGCTACCGGCCCATCTCCAACCTCCCCTTTCTCTCCAAGGTCCTGGAAAGAGTTGTCGCCTCCCAACTGCGCTCTTTCCTTTCCACCCATTCACTTTTCGAACCCCTTCAGTCAGGTTTCCGTGCTGCCCATAGCACAGAAACTGCCCTGGTCAAGGTCACCAATGATATCCTGACCATCTGTGACCAGGGCTCCCTCTGCCTCCTCGTCCTCCTCGACCTATCGGCAGCATTCGATACGGTCGACCACGCTATCCTACTCCACCGCTTGTCCTCCCACCTCAACCTTCAAGGCACTGTCCTTGAATGGTTTAGGTCGTACCTTTCTCACCGTCTTCACTTTGTCTCCACAAATGGCTTTTCCTCCACCCCCCGCACTGTCTCATGTGGTGTCCCTCAGGGCTCTGTCCTCGGTCCCCTCCTCTTCACCCTCTATATGCTCCCCCTTGGTGACATCATCCGCAGACATGGGTTAACTTCCACATGTATGCGGATGACACCCAACTCTACCTTTCCTCCTCTACTCTCAACTCCACGACCACCGATGTCCTGACAGCTGCCTGTCCGACATCGAGTCCTGGACGAGAGACAACTTTCTTCAGCTCAACGTGCGAAAAACCGAGGCCCTCCTGATTGGCTCACGTCAGCGCCTCCGCACCTCAGGCGCTGACACCATCAGCATCCAAGGCTGCACTCTCCACCTCTCAAAGCCAGTCAGGAACCTCGGCGTTTTGTTCGACCCTGAGCTGTCCTTTCTCCCTCACATCCGCACCACAACTGGCACCGCCTTCCATCACCTCCGGAACATCGCCAGACTACGGCACTACCTCACCCCTCACGCTGCTGAAACCCTGGTCCACGCCTTTGTCACCTCAAGGCTGGACTATGGGAACTCTCTCCTCGCCAGGCTTCCCGGCCCTGACCACACTGCAGGTCATTCAGAACTCTGCAGCTCGTGTACTGTCCCCCACCAGGCATCGCGCCCACATCACTCCCACCTTCGCCCTCACTCCCACTCCCACCCTCACTCGCCTCCACTGCTCCCCATCCACCAGAGGATCGAATTCAAGATCTTCATCCTCACCTACAAGGCCATTCACGGCCTCGCTCCCTCCTACCTCTCCGACCTACTATCCCCCTACCTGCCCGTACCCTCCGTTCCTCTGGCTCCGGTCTGCTCCACGTCCCCCGCCCCAACCGCCCTACCATCGGTGGCCTTCAGCCTCTCAGCCCCGAGGCTCTGGAACTCCATCCCCCAGTGCCTTCGCCGCTTCCTCCCTCTCCTCCTTCAAGGCCGGTCTCAAAACCTTTCTCTTTGACCGTGCCTTCAGCTCCCCTCTCGACTCTCTTCCCCCTCCTCGCTCCCTCCCTTCCCTCCCCTCACCCTGACCATTTCCCCCCTCCTCGCTCCCTCCCTTCCCTCCCCTCACCCTGACCATTTCCCCCCTCCTCGCTCCCTCCCTTCCCTCCCCTCACCCTGACCATTTCCCTCCTCCT